GGTCAACCACGAAAAAGGAGAGACATAGAAGGGGAAAGAGAGGAGGAAGGAGAACGAGAGGACACTCCAAAAAAGAGACAGGTTTGAAAGGTCAGGGTATCTTTAACCTGAGTGGTGTTGAACTGACTAATGAAGAGCTTGACCTTCTTGACAAAGGGTTAAAATATACCCCTGCTACACGGATGAATAAATTTAACACCTATGTGGATGTGCACAAATTTATTAGACAATTGTCCCTCAAAAAATATTTTTTCAACAGACCTAGTTTAGGGAATCAGACTCCCTCGAGCATGGTTCATTCCAATTTAAAAAATGCATCCACCTTCAACCCCCCTCCACAATCGCATTCCTACTTAAATGTCTTTAAGGAAAAAGTTCTAAGGGATTTGGAAAACATGCCTGTAAAACGGGTATACGATAACCCTAGTGACAGGTTGGCCATTAAGACTCTCGTGGAAAAGAGAGATATTGTGATCAGGCCAGCTGATAAGGGTGGGGGGTGTGTGGTCTGGAATAAGGGCCCGACTATATGGGGGAAGTCAGCAAAGTGCTGAAGGATGATTCCACCTATAGACCTCTATCCAGTGATCCCCTTACAGGTTATAAAAAGTCGCTCTTAGCCATTATCAAGAAAGGTTTTGTTAATGGAATTATAAATAAGAAGGAGAAGGCCTTTCTATGCCCGGTGGCCCCAAAACTTCCTATATTGTACATCCTTCCGAAGGTACACAAAGACCCGGTACACCCTCCGGGCCGACCCATAATTAGTGGGATAGGGTCATTATTATCTAGGATTGGGGAATATATCGATTTCCATCTGCAACCATTGGTTGCCGAAACTCCTTCATTTCTTAGAGACACCAAGCAGGTCCTGAATGAAGTTGACGCAATAGACACATCACCTGATATGTTTCTAGTTACAGCGGATGTCAGTTCCTTGTATACCAGCATCAATCATGCGGATGGCATGGAGGCTACTGATTTCTATCTAACAAATTGCAGTCACTTGTCGGGAATACAAAGGCACTTTATTCTGGACCTGTTACACTTTGCCATGTACCATAATTATTTTTGGTATAATCAGTCTTACTACCTGCAGATCAAGGGTGTTGCTATGGGGGCAAAGTTTGCCCCCAGCCTCGCCAACCTCTTCATGTCCAGATGGGAGGAGGATGTGATCTATGCCAGAGATTGGCCAGAACTGGTTTTGTACAAGCGATATATTGATGACATCCTCCTCCTCTGGAATGGAGAGGAAAGTGCGCTTAATAATTTCTTCATGTATTGAATAATAACACCTTAAATATTCACCTGACTTATACCTATAGTCGACACCAGATCGATTTTTTGGACCTTACGCTTAGGAAAGACAATGGGAGGATAGTGACTAAGTCCTTCTTTAAGGTATCTGACCGTAACAGCTATATCCCTGTGAGTAGCTGTCACCATCCGAATTGGCTGAGTAACATACCGAAAGGCCAATTCACTCGGATAAGACTAAATTGCATGGATCTGGGAACGTATTGGTCTCAAGCGAATATCCTTAAAAATAGATTCCTAAAGAAAGGATATAAGGAACCCGAGCTTGATGAGTCTTTGGCTAAGGTTGCGGGCCTTGACAGGAAGGAGATGCTTTCATACAAACCACAAAGAACAAATGAGAAAGTATGTCCCTTTGTAACAACGTTTTCAGTGCAATATAAACAGGTAGGAAGACTTATAAAGAAGAACTGGGATATTTTGAAGATGGACCCTGTCCTTTCACAAATATTACCCAACAAGCCTGAGATCATGTTTAGGAGGGCTCTGGCTATGAGAAATCGTATTGCTCCAAATGTTGTGAATCCCCCTGCGAAAACTTCTTTCTTCGGGGATTTAAAGGGATTCTACCCGTGTAATAAATGTATTATATGCAGGTGTGATAATACTCGTAAAAGGAAAATGGACACATTTGCCTCAACATCAACCGGGAAGTCCTATGGCATTAAGCAATGTATAACGTGTAATAGTAAATATGTGGTCTACCTCCTCAGTTGTCCCTGTAACAAGCAGTATGTGGGGCGGACAACTAGGTGCCTACAGGACCGTCTGCGGGAGCACGTAGCGAACATCAAAAAAGGCTATAAGGACCACTCGCTATCCAACCACTTTAGACTGTTCCATAATAGCGACCCTACCTCTTTAAAGTTTGTGGGTATAGAGATGGTGTCACCGCATTGGAGGGGACTTCACAAGACCAGGACAGTCTCTCAGGCTGAGACCCGTTGGGTCTATGAATTACGCACCCTTTACCCTCATGGACACAATGTTGAGGTGGATATCAACTGCTTCATTGCCAATAGCTAGGACATGGATACTTCTCCCATTATTTACAATATTTCAGAATATAGTGTAGTGCAGATTTTATCCATATTTTAAATTTTAAGTTTTATGGTTTATTGTTTATGGTTCTACCAGTGTATTTTTGTACGCAGCACCTAGATGGGCCCCTTTAGTCTTGGATAACGTAGAGAGCTATAAATGGTGAAATGGGATATAGTTTTTCTGTATTATAGGACCATTAAGTCTGTGTAATTAACACCCCTTTACACATTAGCCCCTAGTATATAATCACAGGGTACTAGGATATTATGACCCATAATTTGGATATTTCCTTAACGTTAACAGACTATGCCCCAATTTATTATAGGGGCACTCCTTTTAAGATGCCTGTGTGCAATTTTGGGATTTTCAATGTATATTTTTTGTGTTTTGGTATTTACCTTTATGTTTTCATCTATGGGTAACCGATTACAGCCCCTATGCCATGGATATAATAATTATTTGTAAAGTGGGGTTCTGGCTTTTACAGCACCTTATTGGTGCATTCCCACATATCTTCTAACAGTGGCCCAAAGTCGGGTCCCTCTGTTTGTAGAGGAGGGTATCTGTATACCTCTGTGATAGGATCATCCACCCCCCTATCACCGTCTATGGGGAACTAACGTTTGAGTATGTACCTATTTTTCTATTTCTCTAGCAGCAGCTGTAGATCTGCACAGTCTACTGTTTTGATCCATGGCAATATGGCGGCGCATGCGCAGTTTAATACTGCACAGCCGCGACCCACGGCAAAATGGCGGCTATCCGCGCATGCGCAGTACCGCTTTTCGAACTCCGGACGATAGAGCGGGATTTTCGCGCATGCGCGAACCGCGTTTAAAAGGAAGTCTTGCTGTCACACTGCTAGTGGCATCCATCCTCTGATGAAGTGCATTAGCACGAAAGGCCTCAGGAGGAGCCAGTAGCAAGTGTGACTTCCTGACCACTGAGACCCATGAGGAGGTCCAGTGGTCTCTGATCTTTACCACTGCCGGGTTAGTACATTTTTTGTTCTCATACTTACCAGTCCATATATTGGCTAATGGTAGCTGTATGTACATGTGACCATGGCTTTATGATTGTTGCTCCAATAAAAGTTTTGAACCTACCACACTATTGGCGTTCCCTTTTTTCCCTGACTCTCCTGTTGGAGGGTTGCAGATTTATACCTTCCACTTTTGGGGTACCTGGAACCAGAAGGGGGATCCCTGTCTACTTATCATCTGGGGCGAGAGGGTCTCTGGATCTGGAGGTATTGCTACACCCAAGGCTGATGTCAGTGTTTAAGAGGGGGATCCATGTGTTTCCTGGAGCTGCATGCCTGGCTGGTCTTCTGGATAATATTACACGCAGGCGCATTTAAAATGTGCGGTCGGTGAGTGCGCATTTTTGCTATTTGATTCCAGTCACCTAATGAGGAGAAGGCCTGCACATATTTGATTTTATTATTGTGAAAAAGACTTTATGAACTATTTCTATACTAATTTTTAATTTTTATAATTTTTTAAATCACATTATAGCGCTGCACTATATATATATAATGTTTCTGTTATGAGGTCCAGTGATCCCTTGAAGTGTTTCAGCGGCTGGTTTTTTCTGAGCGCTCGCTATATTTACATTTGATTTTTAACTTTGCTTATTGAATGGGTATTCTTTGGATTCATCTCAAGCATGTGCAAAGCAAATATGACAAAGGGATTTTTATTTTGCACATGACTGGATGATTCTCTACTCTTAACAAATCCAATCCACAACTCTCCAAGGAAACTTGTTAATGAGAGACACCTGTAGACTGCCATTGCTGGTCTGTCTTTCTGAAAATGCAAGCTGTTTGGCTATCACAATGGACCCTCTTGCTTCACTGCTTTGAGTCACTAACCTGCAACAAGAGTTCAGTTAGCATTTTTAGACAGTCCCAGTGTGATGCTTTTATCCTGAGTGAAAATGGTTTTCTAGTAACCATGAAATCTGTCTTTTTTTTTTTTTTCTTCAATTTATTTCAGTGGGGAGAAGAGAAACACTGGAATACTCTGTACCAGTGTGCAAAAGTGTATTTGCTTTTTAGAAGAAAAATCACCTCTAATGTTGGGTGCCCTACATGTGTGGATGTTGCTGCATTATATAAAACTATTAGAATAGTTTTTCACATTTTAGAATGGGGTGCCCTTTTATAATTTTGGACAGTCTTGAGGCACCCCATTTTAGAATGGGGTGCCTCGGGACTGTCCATAATTTTAAAGGGTGCCTTAACTGAAAAAAGGTTGAGAAACCTTGCCCTGGATTAGGTGAAATTATTTTAACCACACTTTATAAGTGGTTCTTTAGTACCAGTTTCAGAATCCTTTACCTCCTTAATGATAGTGGAATGTTCATTATATGCACAACAGTAAGTGGACAGCCAGTACAAAACTGATTGCAGGAGGTAAATTTACCCTACAAGCTGATATCTCTAATAATTCTGTCTAATCTAAAATCTCACATGCATACAATTCCAAGACATTTAAACAAGTCTTTTTTAATTCATACAAATACAGCAGCACTTGCAGATATCAAAATCTAATAAATAATGCTCATGAACTGATTTCTATTTACAGTACTAAAATTGTTTAAAAAAAAAATCAAACTGTACAGAGAATTAATTAAATATCAAATTTCTCTTCACAGATCAAGTGCCCATTCTCTTCATAGTCCTCTCTTGACACCACCATGTCTTCAAAATCATCATTTTCTGATATCAACTTCCCACCCTCCCAGGAATAAGTAATAGGGCTGGGGAAAAAAAACAAGGAAATCACTCAGTCATGCTCTATATAAAGAAAAGTATTAAAAGTTTAAGTAAAGTTACTATATATATATATATTTTTGGGTTTTTTTTGCTTTAAAGCAGCGGTTCTCAAATGGGGGTCGCGACCCCTTTGGGGGTCGAAACCATTTCCCAGGATCGCCTAAGTCGGAAAACACATATTTCTGGTCTTAGGAACCGAGACACCGCTCCTCTCTCCGGCGATGTGTGGGCGGGATGATACTGCTCTGTCACCTGGCCACACCTCCGGGATCGCTCAGCAGCTCCGCCTCCTTGCCGATGATTACCGGAACTGTAGCTAGGAGAGGCACACTCGGCCAATCACCGGCGAGGAGGCTGGAGAGGAGGAGCCGAGCGGCAGCGCGCGTACATCAAAGAAGATCGAGGGAGCTGCGGAGCGATGAAGAGTGACAGAGGAGAGCGGCAGAGAAGGAAGACAGCTGACAGGTAAGTGAGGAGGGGCCCAGGCTGTCAGGTCAGGGGGCATATTCCTCCCCCCCTGACTTGGGGCACTATTCCTCCCCCCCCACTGACACCAACGATGGGGCAATTCCTCCCCCCACTGACACCAACGATGGGACACTATTTCCCCCCTGACCCCAATGATGGGGCACTATTCTCCCCTCCACCACACTGACATCAATGATGGGGCACTATTCCTCCCACTGACAAATGATGGGGCACTATTCCTCCCCCCACTGACACCAACGATGGGACACTATTTCCCCCCCCCCCCCACCCCAATGATACACTATTCCTCCCACTGACACCATTGATGGGGCACTATTCCTCCCACTGAACACCAGTGATGGGGCACTATTCCTCCCACTGACACCAGTGATGTGGCACTATTCCTCCCACTGACACCAGTGATGGGGCACTACTCCCACTGACACCAGTGATGGGGCACTAACCCCCCCACTGACACCAGTGATGGGGCACTATGACACCAGTGATGGGGCATACCCCCCCCACTGATGATGGGGCATACCCCCCCCCACTGACACCAGTGATGGGGCATATTCCTCCCACTGATACCAACGATATATTCATCCCACTGACATCAGTGATGGGGCACTATTCCACTGACACCAATGATATGGCATATCCTCCCACTGCAAAATTACAGTTATGAAGTAGGAACGAAAATATTTTATGGTTGGGGGTCACCACACATGAGGAACTGTATTAAGGGGTCGCGGCATTAGAAAGGTTGGGCACTGCTTTAAAGGATAAGTATACTGAAAGTACATACTCTAGCTCCCAATTTAAACTACCCACTCCATACCTGAGCATCACAGCCTGTCATGCACAGCAAGCCCGTAAAGACATTGCAGCTGCGATACATGGGTAAGCAGCTGGAAGGGGATAGGTGGTTTAGGTCAGGGGCTTATTAGCCCCTCTTGTGAAGACAAAGTAAGAAAAAAATTTTTTTTTAATAAAATACACCATCAAAAAAGGTTTTAAAAAGTATGTGTATATATATATATATATGTATATAAACAAAATATAGTTTCCAGAGGTGGGCAAATTGCTGCAGCCATGCAGGGAGCCAGAACAGGCATTGTCCCAGATCTGGATGACGATGACTGGGATGAGATGTGGGTATTCTCATTATCAAGACAGTTCTTGGCTACATCAGTTGATCCATTAGACGTTTCTACACTGTGTCTACCTCAATCTGCTGGGATTGATCCAGACCAGTAATCTATATGCTGGAGCTGTTCCCAAGTCCAAGCCAGTTTCATAGATATTTTTTTTTTTTGTAACTGTTCTACAATACAACTCTACTGGCAAGAAGTGGTTACTTGTGCCAGATCACTTTCCACCATCCCAATTACACCTTCCATAAATGTTTGCTTATTAGGATTGGTTGATAGTTTAGCACCCACTATAGCAATTAGAACTTATTATTCTACGCTTAGTCCATTATTTTGTCTTAGGAAAACCAAATGCACCCACAGTGAAAGCCTTAATCAAAGGGGCCTTACCTTTCCACAAGTCCACATCAGCTAATAAAGGTGTATCTAAAGGTGTACGTCTGACAAAGTTGGTGGCTGCTAAACAAATATCCACATGGATATTGTTTTTTTTTTAACCCACTCTGTTGCATGGCTGAACATGGTCTCTGGATTTGATTCATGTTTGCTCGTGTTACTGAATGTCTGCTATATATTGGGATTGTTTTACTCTGAGACTATCTTGGACATCACTTCAAGAGATGAGATGCACCCAAAAGTAGGGTTTATGGGCCCTCTGGAAATTATTTTGTTTTTAGGTAGGCTTAACTTCTGTATTACTATTTGGTGACACCGCAGTGTAAAGCCGGCCATACATGGATCAAAATTTGGCTAGTTCAGCAGGGACTGGCCGAATTTCAAACCATGTATGATCTGTTGTACAACTTATGTACAAGCAGCCTGTCGGGTTTTTCCCTTAATGATCAGTGCTGCCAGCTATTGCCCGCAACACTGATCAATGTATTCTGACAGTGAGAGCTCCTTGCTGTCAAAATACAATACCACAGTGGGAATGATTCCCCCATTCAATGTGTGGCTACGGGAATTTGCCAATTTATTTTCATTCAACTGACTGGTTGAATGAAAAAAAAAAAAAATTAATCCTGCATGGCCAGCCTAAAAGGTATAATTCTAGTACCATCATTTACAACCCAAATTCCAAAAAAGATTGGACGCTGTGTAAAAATCTACATAAAAACAGAATGCAATGATTGCAAATCTCAAACCCATATTTTATTCACAATAGAAAACATCAAATGTTTAACTTGAGAAAATGTACCATTTTAAGAAAATAATAAGGTCATTTTGAAGTTGATTGCAATGCATCTTAAAAGTTGGAACAGGGCAACAACAAAAAAAAAAATCTGGCAAAGTGGTACTAACAAGGAAGAGTTGGAAGAACATTTTGCAACTAGTCAGTAACATGATATAAAAAGGGCATCTTGGAGAGTAAGAGGGGTTTATTTACAGTGCATCCAGAAAGTATTCACAGCGCTTAACTTTTGCAACATTTTATTATGTTACAGCCTTATTCCAAAATTGATAAAAAAACATTTCCTCAACATTCTACAAACATCCAGTTTGGAATAAGGTTGTAACATAACAAAATGTGGTAAACGTTAAGCGCTGTGAATACTTTCTGGATGCACTGTACTAAAGCTGGTTAACTCAGAATCTGGTGCACCTGTGCATGGTAGCCAGTCGGCTTCTAACTTCAGCTTGTTCAATTAAGCTTTGACAATAAAACCTGGAAGCTGCTTGGTTTCTATGCAGGAGTGCATGAGATTGAGTGAACAAGCTTTAGTAAATAAACCCCAGAGTGTCTCAGAAGTAAAGATGGTCAGAGGTTCACCAATCTGCGAAAAGTTGCATCTAAAAATTGTCAATTTGAGAATAATGTTCCTCAACATAAAATTGCATCATCTACAGTACATATTATCAAAAGATTGCAAATCTGGAAAAATCTCTGTACAATGGACAAGGCAGGAACACAATATTGGATACCCATGATCCTCGGACTCTGATACAGCACTGCAGTAAAAACAGGCATCATTCTGTGCTGGACATCACTGCATGGGCTCAGGAATACATGCAAAAACTACTGTCTGTGAACACAGTTCACTGTGCCATCCAAAAATGCACTCCAAATGTTTGCTTTTTTTTTTTTTGGCAACCATGAGTGCTGCATCCTCTGGACTACACAGAAGAGGAACCTTCCAGCTTGTTACCAGCGCTCAGTTTAAAACGCCTGCATATTTGATGGTACAGGCAGTTTATACATCTGGAAAGCCACCATCAATGCTGAAAGATGCACTATATTGCCAAAAGTATTGGGACGTTTGCCTTTACATGCACATGAACTTTAATGGCATCCCAGTCTTAGTCCGTAGGGTTCAATATTGACTTGGCCCACCCTTTGCAGCTATAACAGCTTCAACTCTTCTGGGAAGGCTGTCCACAAGGTTTAGGAGTGTGTCTATGGGAATGTTTGACCATTCTTCCAGAAGCACATTTGTGAGGTCAGGAACTGATGTCAGACGAGAAGGCCTGGCTCACAGTCTCCACTCTAATTCATCCTAAAGGTGTTCTATCAGGTTGAGGTCAGGACTCTGTGCAGGTCAGTCAAGTTCCTCCACCCCAAACTCACTCATCGTTGTCCTTATGCACTGGTGCGCAGTCATGTTGGAACAAGAAGGGGCCATCCCCAAACTGTTCCCACAAAGTTGGGAACATGAAATTGTTCAAAATATCTTGGTATGCTGCCACGTTAAGAGATCCCTTCATTGGAACTAAGGGGCCAAGCCCAACCCCTGAAAAACAACCCCACACCATAATTCCCCCTCCGTCAAACTTTACACTTGGCACAATGCTGTCAGGCAAGAACTGTTTTCCTGGCAAACGCCAAACCCAGACATGCCCATCGGATTGCCAGAGAAGCGTGATTGGTCACTCCAGAGAACATGTCTCCATTGCTCTAGAGTCCAGTGTTAGCGTGCTTTACACCACTGCATCTGCCATTTTACATTGCACTTGGTGATGTAAGGCTTGGATACAGCTGCTCAGCCATGGAAACCCATTCCATGAAGCTCTCTATGCACTGTTGTGCTAAGCTGAAGGCCACACAAAGTTTGGAGGTCTTTAGCTATTGACTCTGCAGACAGTTGGCAACTTCTGTGCACTGTATGCTTCAGAATGCGCTGACCCCGCTCTGTCATTTTACGTGACCTACCACTCCATGGCAGAGTTGCTGTTCTTCCCAGTTGCTTCAACTTTGTTAAAATACCACTAACAGTTGAGCGTGGAATAATTAATAGCAAGGAAATGTCACGGATGGACTTATTGCACAGGTGGCAACCTATCACGGTACCACGCTTGAACTCACTGAGCTCCTGAGAGCAACCCATTCTTTCACAAATGTTTGTAGAAGCAGTCTGCATGCCTAGGTGCTTGATTTTATACACCTGTGGCCATAGAGGGGATTGGAACACCTGAATCTAATAATTTCAAGGGGTGTCCCAATACTTTTGGCAATGTAGTGTATATCCAGGTTTTACAGCAACATATGCTCAGGAAAGAATGGGACAACAGGCATCTCCCAAAACTCTAGCAACTAGTCACTCTGACTCTCTACAATGCCCTTTTTAAATCCAATCATATTACTGACCTGCTGCCAATTAACCTAATTAGTTGCAAAATGTTCTTCCAGCCCTTGTTAGTACCACTTACTTTGCCAGCTTTTTGTTGACCTGTCCCACCTTTTTTTGAGGCATGTTGCTGCCATCCATTTCAAAATTATCTTATTTTGTTCTTAAAACTGGTGCATTTTTCTCAATTTAAACACTGTGAATAAAATATGGGTTCATGAGAGTTGCAAATCATTACATTCTGTTTTTGTAGATTTTACACAGCGTCTAAACTTATTTGGAATTGAGGTTATATAGTTAACTGTAAAGTGATGAGCTATAGAGGCTAATAAAGCGTTGTCTATGGACATCTTTGTTGGTGCAAAAAATGAGGATTATATTGTCTTTGTGTGCACTAAAATAACTATTGCATTTTTGCTGAAAATATACATTTGATAAACTATAGTACAAATATTGTGTGATATAAAAATTCAACTGCAATCATTTTTTGTTACAGGTTCTCTACTTTCAAAAATATAGGTTTTGGGGGGTTTAATTGCATTATGTAACAAATGTGCATTTGTGCAGAAAAAGGAAAATAAAGGCTCCAGCAGTAAAAAAGTTCAAAAAGAAACTAACTGGGAACGATACTGGTACTGCAATTGCTGACGTGCTTTGGAAAATGCTAGTTGAATGGCTGTTTCTGGCTGCAATACTTTGAGACACTGTATTATAACAAGTATTCAGCTTAGCAAAGCCAGAGTTCCCAATCTGCATGCTTCCAGGTAAGTGACAAAATGCTGAAGAAATTATTCAGCAAGACAGCAAAGAAACTAGTAAGAGGTCAGCAACAACATAAAAAAAGGCTGCATGGTGATGCAGGCACAATAATGCACCAGACCCAGTGTGACAGTATTTATAGACACCATGAAGCAATGATTACACATTTACAAACTGAATGTCCACTGCTCCAACACACAATACTTACTTCTCAGGTAAAATAACAGACACATCATAGTCTGTAGGAGTAAGCTTTCGCACCTCTGAATACACTCGCTCTTTAAATCCTGGAATGTGGGAATTTCCTCCAGTAAGGATGATGTTCTTATAAAAATGAGGCTGCATTTCTATCATGGAAAAGAAAAACAATCGGGTTTTCTTTGTTAAGAAATACAAAAGTGGACTGAATTTAAAAAAACAAAAAACAACTGACTTTAGATCTGCTGATCCAACAAAAAAAAAAAAAAAAGGTATTTTTGTACTAAAAACCTAGTTCATGGGGTGACACAGCAGTCTACCTGGTATATGCCCTGCCACCTAGGAGACGGGGCAAAAAGCAGCTGAAGGCTCAATAACTCCCACAGGGCCTATCCCTGTGCACAAGAAGTCAGTTTAACTAGCCAAAAGGTAAAAGTGAGTCCTAACAATCACATGTGCTATAGCTAAATGAATTCAGCCTATTGGTTATTAAACAAAAACATGACAGCCTCCATCTGACTACAACAGTAACTACAATGAGGGCCAGTGTTGAAGGCATCAAATTGACCAGTTTCTGAGATCAATAAAAATTAATGGACAAGTTTTGCATTCCTATAGACTTGCATTGTGATTGCAAAACCTGTTCGAAGTAAACAAACGCCTGTCAACACAGGCTCCAAAAGGTGTCACAATATAAGTACCGTATTAATAGAAACATACTGGATTAATTAAAGGTTCAAAGTACTCAAAACCAATATTTAATATAATGGCATGTTTGCAACATTCATTAGGCATTATATTATAGTAGTTATAGTAGTGCAATTCCTGTTGCTATATACCCCTTTTGGCATGCAACCCTATCTGAATAAGCTTCTCTGAATAAAGTTCAGTGTCTTCACATGTATTGCATCTCAAGACAACCAGATTGTTGTTTATTTATGACAGGGGTATTGCATTAAATTTCAAGGAGGTCTGCTAACTAAAATCTTCTTCTGGTCAAGGTCTGAAAATAAGTGTCCCCATTAGTTTTCCCCCTTACATCAGGTTCCCCCTCCAGAGTAATTTATTACACTGGGTGCCACCATCAGACTTCCCCCATAAATCAGTTGCCACTGTCAAAGTACCCCCCTATATCAGGTGTTCCCATCACAGTGCCCCCATACATCAAGCATTTCCATCAGTGTGCCCTCTTACATCAGGCATTCCCCACCAGAGTGCCCCCTATACCAGGTTTCTACATCAGAAGGCCCCCTTGCATTTGGTGTCTCCCATCAGTGTGCCCCCTTACATCAGTTGTCCCCATTAGAGTGCCCCATTATATAAGGTTCCCCCATCACAGTGACACCTTAGATAGGGTGTGCCAATTAGCGTGCCCCCTTACATTAAGTGTCCCCATCAGGGTGAAACTTTTCAACATGTATCCCCATCACATCCGTTGGCCCCTTCAGAGTGCCCCTTTACATCAGGTATCCCCATCACATTGCCACCTTACAGCAGGTATTGCCGTCAGAGTGCCCCACTCAAAGTACCCCTTTCCATTTCCCCATCAGAGTGCCCCTTTACATCATATTCTCCACCACATGTGCCCTTTCCATCACATGTGCCCATCAGAGTTCCCCTTTCCACAGTATGTGCCCATATGTGCCACTTAACATAAAATGTGCCCATCAGAGTGCCCCTTAACATAAAATAAGCAGCATGCATGATGGGCACATTTATATTAAGGGGCACTCTGATGGGCACATATTATATTAAGGGGCACTCTGATGGGCACATACAGTTGCAAGAAAAAGTATGTGAACCCCTTGGGATTACGTGGAGTTTTGCATGAATTGGGCATAAAATGTGCTCTGAACGCCATCTAAGTCACAAAAATAGAACACAGTCTGCTGAACATAATACTACACAAACATTAGATGTTGCCATGGTTTAATTGCACATAACATGTAAACATTCACAGTGCAGGGAGGAAAAAGTATGTGAGGCCCTAGCTTAATGACTTCTCCCAGAGCTAATTGGAGCCAGGAGTGATCCAATCAGTGTGATGATATTGGATGTGTTGCTGACAGCTGTCCTGCCCTTAAAAAACACACACCTGTTTTGGGTTTACTGGTTTCAAGAAGCACTGTCTGATGTGAACCATGCCTCGCAGAAAAGAGCTCTCAGAAGACCTACGATCAAGAATTGTTGACTTGCATGAAACTGGAAAGGGTTACAAAAGTATCTCCAAAAGCCTTGATGTTCATGTGTCCACGGTAAGACACACTGTCTACAAATGGAGAAAGTTTAGCACTGTGGCTACTCTCCATAAGCGTGGTCGTCCTGTAAAAATGACTGCAAGAGCACAGCGCAGAATGCTGCATGAGGTAAAGAAGAATCCCAGAGTGTCAGCTAAAGACCTACAGAAATCTCTGGCACATGCTAACATTTTTGTTGACACATCTACAATAAGGAAAACATTAAACAAGAATGGAGTACATGGGAGGACACCACGGAGGAAGCCATTGCTGTCCAAAAAGAATATTGCAGCACGTTTGAAGTTTGCAAAAGAGCACCTGGATGTTCCACAGCACTACTGGCAAAATATACTGTGGACAGATGAAACCAAGATTGGTTGTTGTTTGGGAAGAACACACAACACTATGTGTGGAGAAAAAAAGGCACAGCACACCAACATCAAAACCTCATCCCCACTGTAAAACATGGCGGAGGGAGCATCATGGTTTGGGGCTGCTTTGCTGCCTCAGGGCCTGGACAGATTGTTGTCATTGATGGGAAAATGAATTCCAGAGTTTATCAAGACATTTTGCAGGAAAACGTACGACCATCTGTCGGCCAACTGAAGCTCCGCAGAGGATGAGTGATGCAACAGGACAATGACCCAAAGCATACAAGTAATTCAACAAAACAATGGCTGCAACAGCACAGAATACGCCTTCTGGAGTGGCCCAGTCAGAGTCCTGACCTCAACCCGATTGAAATGCTGTGGCATGACCTTAAGAGAGCGATTCACAACCAGACATCCCAAGAATATTGCTACACTGAAACAGTTTTGTGAAGAGGAGTGGTCCAAAATTACTCCAGATCGTTGTGCAGGTCTGATCTGCAACTACAGGAAACGTTTGGTTGAGGTTATTGCTGCCAAAGGAGGGTCAACCAGTTATTAAGTCCAAAGGTTCACATACTTTTTCCTCCCTGCACTGTGAATGTTTACATGTTATGTGCAATTAAACCATGGCAACATCTAATGTTTGTGTAATATTATGTTCAGCAGACTATGTTCTTCTATTGTTGTGACTTAGATGACGTCCAGAGCACATTTTATGCCCAATTCATGCAAAACTCCACGTAATCCCAAGGGGTTCACATACTTTTTCTTGCAACTGTACGTACATGTGTTGAATAATATTCAAACTAAATTTAGATGTAAATATGGAAAATATTATGTTCAATTAATGGCCCAAAGCATGTATGTGACATATTTGTTACACTGTACAGCATAAAAAGAAAAGAAAAAGTGCATTCATATGTTGATATCCGTACACTTACTGTTATTGAAAGTACAGATATGCAGGCCATAGATGGGTCAAAAATCAGCCGATTTTTCTTTTAAAAAAACGAAAAATCGGTCGTTCAAGCGGCCGATGTTACCAGCAACGGTAAAAAAAAAAAAAATCAGCCGGTTTTCATCCCGTCTACAGCTGGCAAAAAGTGTCCCTGCAGAGAGCTCCGCTATTTCTTTGACAGTTCCTCGACATTTATAGCAGTTGCAACAATGTATTTGTATCCATTTAGGATACAGATGTTTTTATTCAGAAACAAATAGATACATTGTTGCAATCGCTATAAATGTCAAGGGGCTGTCAAAGAAATAGCGGAGCTCTCTGCAGGGACATTTTTTGCCGTACTGGAATTCCTCTTCTTCATCCTCTTCTTCTTCTTCATCCTCTTCTTCTTCTTCATCCTCCTCTTCTTCTTCATCCTCCTCTTCTCTCTTCATCCTCCTCTTCTTCATCCTCTATTTCATCTTCTTCATCCTCTTCTTCTTCTTCTTCTTCATCATCCTCTTCTTCTTCATCCTCTTCTTCTTCCTATTCTTCTTCCTATTCTTCTTCTTCATCCTCTTTCTTCATCCTCTTCTTCTTCATCATCCTCTTCTTCTTCCTATTCTTCTTCATCCTCTTCTTCTTCCTATTCTTCTTCATCCTCTTCTTCTTCCTATTCTTCTTCCTATTCCTCTTCTTCTCCTCTTCTTCTTCTCATCCTCTTCTTCTTCATCCTCTTCTTCTTCATCCTCTTCTTCTATTCCTCTTCTTCTTCATCCTCTTCTTCTTCATCCTCTTCTTCTTCATCCTCTTCTTCTTCTTGTCTTCCTCTTGCAGGTCACTGCTCATGCGCAGATTTTTTTATCGGTAAAAAGATCGGTTGTCTTCCTCTTGCCGGTCACGCCTGCTCATTGCCCATTTTTTTATCGGTAAAAAGCCGCCGAATCCCATAGCCATCATTGCCGCGAAAAAAATCGTCCGATCGGCAAATCGGCCGATTTTTTCCAACTTTACCGATAAAAAAAATCTGCCAAAATACCGAAAAACGGACGAACAATTAACCCACTAACGATCCGAACAAAAAATCGGCCGATTTTCGACCCATCTATGGCCTGCAATAGTCCAAGGCCTGTATCTAACAACCTTACAATGGTAAAAAACACCCATGCATCAGCCATTGACCCTTCCCTAGAAGGAAGTCTGTCTCGTGCACCTGTAAAGTAATGTATATAGACGTGCATAAGCTTACATCTATGAACTCTGCGGGGCATATAAAATATTTAGTAATCCTGTATTTATCCCACCTCCACCTAACAAATGTACTTCTATTTGCTCCATCAGCTTATCCAGGCACCGTTATTTGCCTTCTGTATTTCTTGACCCTCCCTCTTAGATTTTTAGTTCTAATGAGCAGGGCCCTTTTGTCTCCTACTGTATTACATTGTAAAGACAGACAGTACGGTCTGTCTTTTTGCAAAGCGCTGCATAACCTGTTTGCGCTATATAAATCCTGTACAATAATAATATATATCAATATATACAGGATTACAATATAAACCCATGCAAATGCAAATGCATATGCCCTTGGACAAAGGAACAACATTAATCATAGATAAGTGATTGAGCAAGGTTTGTATTCAGAATAAAAATCCCACAGAGTGTCCACATACATTCCATGATAGGTATCATATGAATTGTAATAAATGGGTACTTATCAGTCCTTAGCAGTGAACAAAACTTGGAACTTGACCAATTTCCCTGAAACCATGCCAGCTGTCTCTGGAGAGCTTAATATTGTATAGCACACTGAGCCTGCATTCACGCTTGTGTGGTGTGGGACACCACATGTGATTCAAACAGTAAACGCACCGCATTTTTGTGCAAATCACATGCAATGTCTGAGCAGTGCAAATTATGCCATTCATTTTCTATGGCTCAAATCGCACCGCAACTAAATGGTGCATGACCCTTTTTTTTGCCACACCTGAATTGGATCGCATGGGTGTTCACACCCATGCGATCCGATTCTGGCAAACGTACAGCATTTTGTTAGCAGTTTCGGGGTGTTGTTAATTTAACATTGACATCCTAGATTGTAAGCTCAAAAGAGCAGGGCCCTCAATCCCCTCATGTTTTGCATTGTATTGGTATTGTTCTGTCACATGTTCTGTCCCCCTCTGTAATGTACAGCGCTGAGCGAACTATTGGCGCTTTATAAATACTGTATAATAATAATAATATAATAATCCACAGCAGCTTGCATGGATTTGGTGCGTTTCCTGCATCGTGTCAGTGTGAACCTAGGCTGATATGTTATAATCAATAGCATGGTAGATCTATATTTTATTTGAACTAACTAGAAGAAAAAAGGTGCGTATTCATCCAATTAGTTTCCTAATGCAGACAAACAGACATTAAATGCACACCAACCTTCAGGTAGATTGTTAATGGAATGTACAATGGCTTCTGGAATACCCATTTCTTGGATTCCTATATCAGATGGATGGAAAAGTATCTCTGGTACTGCAAACCGTTCATTAGTTAGACGAAGTATCTGCTCCCCAGCTGTTGGCTTTCCATTAAACACCATCTCCTCCCTTGGCTGTTAAAAGATCACAGCACTCAGTAAACACCTTTTTGCTATGATTTCAAAGCAAGCAAAGCAAAACACCTAGAGTCCACAAAATGTAAAGAAATCATGATCAAACCTGCAATCAGATGAATACTGGTAGAAAATTTTTTATTTTTTATTTTATTTTATAAAGAAAGGTCCAATTGAGAAGCTGATGCTAGCATATCTAATGAGAGAAGAGGACCAAAATAATGATGACAGTTGACATGAGAGCCAGGCAACCTGCACATATGAAGTCAGCAAATGACTGCTCCAATGTTTGTCTCATGAAGGGTTTCTTTTGAAGTAATCCTTAGGATTTATAGAGTACCGTATGACATAAAACTGTAATAGATTCATTCAACATGCCTAATCTGTATAGGGGATATTAACCAGTTTCTTTTTAATAAGGTGACTTCTAATTGGAGCTGATGTTCAAATAGGAAGCAACTGAAAGTAAAATGTGCCAGGTACTTTATTCTATATTGTTATGGCTATCCACTGAATCATGTAGCAGAGCAGGAATTTCAACATATAAATTGTAGTGCCTAAACTATGTTTAACCTCCCTGGCGGTCTAACTAATCAATATTTTTGAATGTCAAAGCGGTACTTTTTTTTGCATGGAAATTTGTTTTTTTTATATTGCAGGCCTGTAATTGTTAGGAATAATTCACTTAAATCTGTCCAAACAAGAGTCTAGTAAACATCCCGGGTATGATAAAGTTTGAAACATGAAATCATAAATTATAATATAATAAATATTTATAAAAAAATAATATAATAATAATAATAATTTAATTCAATAATGCATTCAAACTAAAAACACTGAAATTTGAAATAGAGCGCCAAGTTCGCACATCACTGAGCAAAGTCGCAAAATCGTTTTCAGTGTCTGATGACGAATTTCCCCACAAATCATTATCACTCAATTCTGCAAGTGGTTCTAATTTACTATCGCTGTTCTCTAGCTGGTCTAAAATCGCTTTTTACTTAAAGGGACGCCATGGACATTTCTCAGTTTCCAGGCAGAAAGAACAGTAAAAATGCAGGCAGGGCACAGGACAAAGCACTAGAGACAAAACTGAGGTGGAATGCTTTGATACAGTAATGTAATACTAACAGATTACAATGTATTGTGTGTATGTCATGTTTTTACTTTTTTGAATATCCCGCCGGTTCTGCCCCCCCATGTGTCCCGACACTCGCATGGAACGGAACCCGGAAGACGGATGCCGGCACTGGCCGGGGGACATAGAGGGATGACCTCGTGGGATCGCAGGACAAGGTAAGGCTCAAGGGATTGCTGCAGTGTAATCCCCAGTGTTGCTCGGGGTTACTGCTTTTGGTACTCGGAATTACCACCAGGAAGGTTAAAGGAGAAGCACAGCCAGCTGCACTTCTGTGGATCACAGGAGTGTAGTTCGTTCTGCACTCCTGTGACCCGTTTTCAGCTGACAGCAGGCTGAAAGCCCACTGTCGGCTGACGTCACTCAGCCGGTCCAGGCTGGAGAAAAATCCCAACTTTAAATTCGGGATCCACCCCAGAGTCTGGAGAGGCACCTGGCTCAGCTTCTCAGCGAGCCGCTGACAGCCTGATCCTAAGCCAACTGGTCCCTCCCCCAACGCTCCAATGAGCGCAGAGGGGGCCAGAGCAGAGAGAGGTGACTGACAGTCACCACTCTCTACTCAGAGCGGCTGTGAGAACTCAGCATTCAGCGGTCATGTGATCGCTGAGTTCTCACACTTAGAGCCAGCGGGGGACAGATGCTGCATCCATCTAGGTAAGTATAAATGGGGGGGGGGGGGGGAGGTCCTACTTCTCTTTTAATGTACTTTTCTTTTATACCAACAGACTGAAGTTAAAGTGGCAGTTCAGTCAAAATCTAACGAAGGCTACATCTACTCCATTCCCCATTCTTAGACTATTCTATCTACCCTGTAAAAGGAAAGATGCTTATTCTTGCCTATTCTGAATTCGCTCCGGTCCAGGCACATGACCGGGTTCCAACACTGGCATCAGTGTAGAGGGGGGCAGCCGACAACAGATTCCCCATATGGACGACGTCACCACACAGGCATTTGCAGCCGTTGTTGCCGATCTCTCTTCATCACTGAAGCTGACCTGGAGAGATCGTGTGACTGGACTGGAGCAAAGCATCTTTTCTTTCACAGGGTAGATAGAATAGTCTTAGAATGTGGGTGGGAGTAGATTTTGACTGAACTTCCACTCTAAGCAAATAGTCAAAATAAGAAAATGAATATACTGTATACAAAGTACTATTTAATCTGTTAATTTTATCCGGAGGACCCCATGAAGTATGTTTATATTAAACAGTGAAACGTGTATACACGAAGTAGCAGCTTGCTGTCAATCACTAGGATGCAGGTTGTGACAAAAAAGTACAACAGTACAAACCACTCTGTCTGCGCATGAGTAGCAACAAGACAATTGGGCTAATAAAACAAACACATTTAACAGATTTACCGTATTTGCCGGCGTATAAGACGACCCCCTACTTTTCCTGCTAAAATGTAGTGTTTGGGCTATACTCGCCGTATAAGACTACCCCTCTTCCAATGCACACCATGGGAGGAATAGTGCCCCATCATCAGTGTCAGTGGGGGGAATAGTGCCCCATCATTGGTATTAGTGGCAGGAATAGTGCCTCATCATTGGTGTCAGTGGGAGGAATAGTGCCCCATCATTGTATTAGTGGGGGGGAATAGTGCCCCATCATTGGTGTCAGTGGGAGGAATAGTGCCCCATCATTGGTATCAGTGGCAGGAATAGTGCCCCCATCATTGGTATCAGTGGGAGGAATAGTGCCCCATCATTGGTATCAGTGGCAGGAATAGTGCCCCATCATTGGTATCAGTGGGAGGAATAGTCTCCCAACATTGGTGTCAGTGGGAGGAATGGTGTCCCATCATTGGTGTCAGTGGGGGGTGGAATAGTGCCCCATCATTGGTGTCAGTGGGGGGTGGAATAGTGCCCCATCATTGGTGTCAGTGGGGGGTGGAATAGTGCCCCATCATTGGTGTCAGTGGGGGGGGGGAATAGTGCCCCATCGTGGTGTCAGTGGGGGGGGGGGGGGGAGGAATAGTGCCCCATCGTGGTGTCAGTGGGGGGGAAGGAATAGTGCCCCATCGTTGGTGTCAGTGGGGGGGGGGAATAGTGCCCCATCATTGGTGTCAGTGGGAGGAATAGTGCTCCATCATTGGTATCAGCGACACCAATGATGGGGCACTTTCCTCCCACTGACACCAATTACACTTGCTGACCCTGTTCTAGTATGGTGCTGCTGCAGCCAGCATATGTGGTTGCAGCAGCACCTCTACACTGAACACTTACCTGCTGCTCCTGCACTCGATTTTCGCGGGGCCGGCTCGGCTCCGCCCCCTCGCCGGTGATTGGCCGCCTGTGTGCCTTTCCTGAGCTACAGTTCTGGCGGCCAATCACCGGTGAGGAGGCGGAGCCGAGCAGCCGCGCGAACATCCAGTGGCCGAACTGAAGGAGCAGCCGTGCTTCCTGTACAGTCGTGGGACCGGAGCCAGGTAAGAAACAGCCCCTGCCCACCCCTGTACTTAGTGTCCCTTCCGTTGGAAGAGGGGGGGCGGCGGCGGCACCGCGCCGCCCCCCTAAAAAGTGTCAGTATGCCGTATATCGGCGTATAAGACGACCCCCAACTTTTGAGAAGATTTTCAAGGGGTAAAAAGTCGTCTTATACGCCGGCAAATACAGTAATTCATACTCCCAAAACCTAAAATGTGAATCTAGCCCAAAACTCTTAATTCAAATTCTCTGCCCCCCTCTTTTAAGTTTTTTTTTTTTCTTTCAATATTACCAGTGGCCTATCTAATAAGAATTTAGACAACCATATACTATAATTTTAAACATGCTAAAGGATAGCAAATATACGTACAGTAAGCATCTGACAGTCATTGAGCTGAATAGCCTATCAATTTCCCTGCATTTGTTAAAGAGAATTAATAAATTAGTTATCCTTTAGGCTGAGTTCACACAGGCTTCAGCTTTAATGTATAGTGTGAACACCAAGTTTTTTTTACAAAGCATTTGCTGAGTTTTCAACAAGCTTAGGTGTGCTGTCACTTTAAACCAGCTGCTAGCTGGCTTCAGAGCTATTAGCATTCACCGAAATGTGACAAGCAACTTAATGTTTGCTGCTGCATGTGTACAGCCCTGACTGGCTGCATGCCCTAGTTTAGGTGGGCAACAAGGGGAACAGCTCAACTGTCTGCTTTTACTGACCCTTGTGCGAACGAGCCCTAAAGGCTTATAGAAAGTTGCTCAAAACATGCCAAATGCTTTATAAAATCTTGCTGTTCTAGGCCTGTTTCACTTGGGCTTCAGCTTTTATAACATCAGTGTGAACAACAAGCGTCTATGAAACTTTCAGCAAGCTTCAAGTAGCTCTCTCTAAGCCTTTAAAGTCCCCTTCAGCTTCTGCTTGGAAATGTTATACACAGATGGGAGTATGGATTGTCACTTTAAACAAACTGCTAGCAGGCTTTCCATAATCTTCAAAGCACGCTGAAGCCTGCTAGCAGCTTGATTAAAGTGGCAATCAGCACTATTTGGTTCAACTTTTACAAACTGGAGCTGATTGGTACTTTAAAAGCTTCAAAAGTTTGCTGAAAGCTCTGCAAATTCTTTGTGAAAGTTTGCTGTCCACATTGCTCTTAGACAAGCTAGGAACTGTGTGAACTAGAAACATGACTGATAGTAGTAACAGGAAACACTAGTGTTGGGTCTCAAAATTGGCAGTGGTCGTAGAAATGTATGTTCCTGTTGCCCAAAAAAAATAGCTTTTCATCTTCTCATGCTGTACTGAAATCAAGATTCTGATTGTTGCCCAAACAGACAGATGGAGCTCACCCTTGGTTTTTATAACAGCCGGACTATATTTTAGGGTTCTACATTTAGGGGTTGTGGAAGAACAAAATACCTTAATATACCCTTTCTTGATTGTGCTGAAATCTGGAAGTACATAATCCACCATCAGAGAATTATCTTCCCCTTTCAATCTGTAAAAAAATATTTTGTCACTTCTGTCATTATCAGCAGACCACATGCAAAATCTTTTTCTCTAGATACATACTTTGCAGCCTCCATGTCTTTATAGAAATCAGCAGCCACATAGCAGACATCTTCTTTCACTTGGTTGATTACATGTGTCTCATCCATTACATGTAACTGTCTGCAGAAATAAATATTTACAACAAATAAGCAGAACAATATTGTTGTACCACCAAGGCTTGCATGAAAACCTTTACAAGCTATGGGATCTGGGGAGTTTCGGCATGTCACGCTTGATCTCAGTTATAAATTCATCTTAACTGACCAATACAATTTCTTGCACTCATTATCTACTTTAATATCCATCTGGTAGATATTCTTATTGAAGACAATCAACTTATTTAACAGTAAAAATACTAGTAAATAAGGGCCACTTTGTCTATATGTGATTTTTTTTTTTGTGTATAGAAAAGTAAAAGATGCTCCAATGACACTGGTGTCACAAAACACTATGGGGTTTATTTACCAAGACTGGAAAGTGCAAAATCTGGTGCAGTTCTACATAGAAACCTTTCAGCTTCCAGGTTTTATTACCAAAGCCTAATTGACTAAGCTGAAGTTGGAAGCTAAATGGCTATCATGCACTGCTGCACCAGAGTCTGACTGCTCCAGTTTTAGTAAATCTCCCCCTATGGGTTCTAAAACAGGAACACAGAAGCTGCTTGCCTTATAGTCTGAAATTCCAAAGAGCAGGCAGGATGGGGGAATGGATTATTCAAAGTGATACTAAACCCAGGACCCTGCATTCACTATATCTGTTCTCCCACAGTACACACAACATGGAAATGCAATTATTTTAGTAAATATAAACTGAAAAATACCTTTTCTCATCAGCAGTTAGAGCGGTCTTGTGACTTCTATCACTGTCCAGCAGAGCACTGGTTAAAGCTTGTAGGAGGAGTTTTCTTTCTGTTCTAGAAGGATGTAAAACCCCTGACCTCTGTCTAGATAGTGATGATTGGCTCTGTGTTGATAACATGCACTCTCCCAAGAAAATAAAAAACTTTCTAACAATACACACTAAACTGAGCATGTGCAGAATGGCTATGGTTCAGTCTGTCTTATCAGGAGATAAGAGGTGGACATTTGAACAAGAGGAGGAGCGGAGAAGTCAGGATCAAACAGCCTTTTTATACAATGCAGAGGATTAACCCCTTAGGTTACACAGTGAGTATAACAAGCATGCTTTACTGCATATACAGAGTGATTTTATGGTTGTGGGCTTAGTAACACTTTAATTCTCTGAATTATGTATGCACATTTCAGCTTGATATAAGTTCTTTAAGACCTGATTCTCACATATTCTGTGCGAATTGAAGCTCAGGTTTCACAGCTTATTGGCACAGCAGTTGTTCAGCAGTTCAGGTCAGGTTTACATCAGGTTCAGATCAAGATTTTTTCCCGTTCACACATATGCGGTTTAGAAATGGTTCCTATAAAAGTCAATAGCCTGTAATCTGCACCCGAGTCGGACCGCACTGCTCAGAAATCAGACAGCACTCTTTTCCAATCTGCCCCACCAGTGCACTGTTTATATATATGTGAATTGTATTGGTTTGAACCGCATCCAATCCGCATGAAGTGTGAAATAACATTGCTTCCTATGGTGCCTGTTCACATATATCAGGTGTACTGGCAGAGCGGATTGAAAAACAGTCATGTCCGATTTCTGAGCAGTGCAGTCCAGTTCAGGTGTGGATTACAGGCTATTGAACCGTTTCTAAACCGCACACGTCATCAGTTGTGAACAGGATAAAATCCTGACCTGAACCTTATCTAAACCTGACCTGAACCACTAAACAACTACTGTATCAATTAGCTAACTACTGTCAATTCAGCAACTAAGAATAGACAGGTAAACATGTAAAAGCATCCTTGAAGCTTCACTTGCTGCCTATAAAAGTATTGGATATTTATATGCAATATTCCTTATATACCCATGTAAAAAACTGCCCAGCTCTGTGATACTAAAGCAAAAAAATGCTTCTACAGAATTTGAAATAAACAAGATTCAGGTGATCAGGAAGACAATTTTGTTGTGGCAGAAAAAGGTGTGTAGAGAAAGACAAAACATATGTAAGATTTTCATTTTCAGTGTACTTACCTGTATGAGATAATCTCCTTTAGATGGTTTGTCAACAGTTTACCACCAACATTGATTCTAAAAAAGTAAAACAGTGGAAAAAAAGCTAAGGATTACTGAATTACTGCTGGCAAACTGTGATGCTTGAACCAATATAGAAATGTATGTGCTATGCCAGGACTTGTACAGCAACAGTCACAAGATGCCATTACTTTTCCAAATGATTGTACTTAGTCAGTCCAACAACTCACCTTATTATTCCTTCTTGTTTTTTCTTGCTTCGACAGTACGGTACAATGTGTGTGAATGAGTAGCCAGTGTCCACGATGATGCAGCATAATTCCGATGGGTTGTCATGGAAGTATCGGTGTGCGCTGAGAGCCCCAGCTTCAAAATACGTAAAAATAAACAACAACGTTGAAGTATGTTACCTAGTGTACAGCTATGTAGAGGAAGACTAAATATGAGCAGATACTCACGGTTCACTCTTAGAGCTGCCTGGAACTGATATTCTTCAAACAAAATCTCATTCATTGACTCTTGAATTGAACTGAAGTTAAAATATGGCTCTGTAATGATGATGCTTGTTTCTCCAAAGTCTACCTTTTGGAGACAACATATTAATATAATCACTACTAAATAAAAACAAGACAATAACTTATGCAGACTAGAGCAGGCCATACATGGGTCGAATTCCGAACGATATTTCGATCAAAAACATTGTTCATTCTGTAATCCGATGGTGCCACCAATGATTTCGAAAATCGATAAACGAAATGGGGACGAACCGCGAAAATCGGCCGGTGCCATTGCTCCACTAACAGAGCGAAAATCAGCCAATTATTCTTAGGTCTGATTTTCAAACAAAAAATCGTTTGAAAATCGACCGATGTATGGCCGGCCTAAGATTCCAATAAGACATACAGACATCTTACAGGAACCCAATATGTTGTATCACAGCTACAATAATACATATACTATCCTGCAAACACACCTGTAGCCTAAATAGAGCTCTTCATAATTCAGTAGATAACATTTAAAAATGCCTATAGGATGTTATAAAAAGTAACTTACCTGGAACATTTCCTTTCCAAAAAGATAATCCCATACTTGTCTTTGGACATCCCAGTTCACTAAATAACCCTGTTATCATAAAAAACAATTTTGTTTATGACTAGAGCATATAGTATACTGATTCAAACTGAATATAGTAAATGAACCATCAACTACTGTTATAATCACAGAAACTCTATATGTGGCATTTCATTTCATCAAAGACCCAGACAGGGGTGGACTGACAACTCATGGGGCCCCCGGGCAATAGGGGATCAAGGGGCCCCTGTGTCCTTGCCCAAACTCAAAAAAGCCTATGAAAAAGGTACCAGGGGCATCTCATGGGGCCCCCTACTGACACCAGGCCCTCGGGCAGTGCCCGAGTTTCCAAATGGTCAGTCCGCCCCTGGACCCAGATTTAAATAGAAAGCTGATTTATAAATACATTCGATTACAGCAATTATGTAACTTCAAGTCATTATTTTAATGAAACTGGAGTTCCCCTTCTATTAGACAATGCTTTTCACTTAGAAGAGTGATGGCAGAAAAAATACCAAGTGGCCCATTGTATTTCCCATTTTTATATATTTGTTTTTTTTAACTTTTTTTGTATAGATTTAGATGGACTGGCTCACTACCTCTGCTGGAAGTCTATTCAAAGCAGTAACTACTCTTTCAGTAAAATAATGCTTTCTAAGATTGGTTTTTGACTTTCATTCTGCTAGTTTGAGGTCACGTGCCCATGTTCTTGATCTTAGTTTCACATTAAAAATACTTCCCTCCTGAACCTTATTCATCCCCTCGATGTATTTAAAAGGTTTCAACCATGTCTCCCCTTCTACTTCTTTCCTCTAGACCAGGGGTGGGCAAACTTTTTGACTTGAGGGCCGCAATGGGTTCATATATTGGACCCGGGGGCCGGACCAAGAGTAGATGAATGATGTGTATGTGTCATCCATAGTAAGTATAGTAATATTCCCCCATAGTAAGCATAGTAATTAATCCCCCATATAGTAATTCATCCCCCATAGTAATTCATCCCCCATATAGTAATTCATCCCCCATATAGTAATTCATCCCCCATAGTAATGCATCCCCCATATAGTAATTCATCCCCCATATAGTAATTCATCTCCCATATAGTAATTAATCCCCCATATAGTAATTCATCCCCCATAGTAATTCATCCCCCATATAGTAATTCATCCCCCATAGTAATGCATCCCCCATATAGTAATTCATCCCCCATATAGTAATTCATCCCCCATATAGTAATTCATCCCCCATATATAGTAATTTATCCCCCATATAGTAATTTATCCCCATAGTAATTCATCCCCCATATAGTAATTCATCCCCCATAGTAATTCATCCCCCCTATAGTAATTCATCCCCCATAGTAATTCATCCCCCATATAGTAATTTATCCCCCCTATAGTAATTCATTCCCCATATTCCCCTGTGTCAATTTACTTACCTTTGCTCCGCGCGTTCCTCTCTCCGTGTTCCCGCGCCGTTCCGGTCTTCAGGGCGGACTGTGAGAGGAGCCTAGCTCCCCTCACGTTCGTCACGCTGCCCCGCCTACACACATCCTGACAGCCAATGTATCACGCTCCGCGGGCCGTATTAAAAGGTCCGCCGGGCCGTATACATAGTTTGCCCATTGCTGCTCTCTAGACTGTACATATTAGGCTCCTGAAGTCTCTCCTGATGTTTTATCCCTCAGACCTTTTACTATTTTTGTTACCCGTCTCTGGACTCAATCTTATCAATATATTTTTTGTAAGTGAGCTCTCAAAAACTGGGCACATTATTCTAAATGACAGTATGTATAAAAAACCCTCAGTGCAATAAACTTCCTATACAACATATTGTGCAGCTAGCATATAATGTGTTCCCAGATGTAAACCGTAAATCAAATAAAAATGCAGCACCTGCAATATAAACTCAAATAGTGCTCATAATACAAACATGCATAAATGAATAGTGAAACAAAAATAGTGTACGCGTTACGTCACGTCACGTGACTTCATCAGGACTACTCCTGATGAAGTCACGTGATGTAACGCATAGGGTACGCCGACGTCAAGCCACAAACCGGAAGTGCACATTCTGCCATTTTGGAAAAGGGACTCCTGTACATACTGTATACGTTCTGGAGTGTTTAAAGTGCTGACGGTGGTGAAGATCTCGGCACCAGGGTTAAAGGGAAAAGTGTAGCTTGACCTGGTATTATGGGTCAAACCTGGAGGTGAGTGCAATAGTGGCTTGAAGGTGGATGTACACTAAGAGGTGACACTGGAGCACCGTACATGTGTATGCAGTAGTGTGATTACACTGATCCACTTGGAGTACTTTGGATTTAAAGGGACAGTTCACCATTGTCTGGAGATTTATGTTGTTGGTGTATTTGGAGCACGAGATATAGGAGACATACCACACAAACACGTGTGAAGATTTAAGGTTTTATATCTACATTTATTTCAGCACTCATATTATGTGCAAGTCTACGGTGATTTATGTTGTTTTATTGTCACATACACTATTTTTGTTTCACTATTCATTTATGCATGTTTGTATTATGAGCACTATTTGAGTTTATATTGCTGTGCTGCATTTTTATTTGATTTACATCATTCTAAATGAGGTCTAAATAAAAATCTATATAGGGGAATCCAGGCCTCTATCCTCCTGCTGGTCACCCCTCTAGTGATGTATCCTAGAATTCTATTCACCTTTCCCACCAACATGACCGCACTGATTGGTCATTTTGCAATCATCTGAAATAAGTACCCCCAAATCTTTTTTCCTCTGTAGTGCTGGCCACTACTGTACCCCCAATATTGTACTCTATAAGGGCATTCTATTTCCATAGTTGCACTATTTTATATTTAGAAAAACATTGAACTGCAGTTTCCACTGCTTTGACCAGTCTTCCAGCAATGCCAAATCATGTTTCATGTTACAGACACCTCCAGTGATATCAACCCTATTGCACACCTTTGTGTCATCAGAAAAAAGACATACCTTACCCAACAAACCTTTAGTTTTATCACTTACATACAGATTAATAGAAGAAGACCTAGTACAGAGCCTTGTGGTAAATCACTAGTGACTGGCCTCGGTTGTTGTTATTAAATGTGGTTGTTACTGAATATTAGCAACTACTAGCCATAAAGAACAATTACCTTTTGAAATGGAAGAATATAAAAGAGGCCAGATGGGTCCTTAACCTCATCAATTTGATTAGCTGTGAATGTTTTTAAACGGGCAGTTTTCGATCTGAATTGGCAGTTGGGAATGACACTGAAAATAGAAAACAAATGTTATAACATTTATGTATTAATGTCTTCCCATAAAAACACAAATGAACCACTTGCTGCCCGCCCATAGTACATTTACTGTGGGCAGGTGGCAGCTCCATTGATACGCTGCTCAGCACATGTGCACTGGCAGGCCCCCAGGGTCTCGCGGTGGAATGATCCTGTGAACACTATGTCTGGTGGACACAGCAGATCATGGTGCTCAGTGATCATAGCAATAACATGATTGCATGTAAGCAAAACTGTCATGAATGGCTTTCATTCAATACAGCTTGCTTACTATTGTGATGCTGTGATTGGCCCACAGCTATCAAATGGTATCTGGCAATCTGTACCATGTGATTAGCTGTAGCCAATCACAGCATCACAATAGTAAGCAAGCTGTATTGAATGAAAGCCATTCATGACAGTTAAAGTTATTGCTTATAACAGTGATCATCACTGTTACAAGCAATAAGTGTAAAAAAAATAAATAAATAAATCCTGATCACCCTTACAGAGTAGTACAGTGTCACTATGGTGACACTGAGCTTGTCTGATGACAGTATGTAAAAAAAAAAAAAAAAAAAAGTTTAAAAAACAAAATTGAATAAAAATATATTTTTTTCTAAAACATACTGTCATCAGCGGTGTGGAAATTTTTGAAAAAAATGATTGGCTACCATGTACAGCTGTACCAGATTTTGCACTCTCCAGTTTTAGTAAATAACCCCAGTGTGTTCTAAAAAGCTGACGTGTGTTGGTACATATGACGTAGTACCTAGCAGGAGTGTGCATTCCAAGGGTGATAATGCTTCTTAAAGAGAATTCTTTCAAACTGAAGCTCAGACAGGGTGAGGCCAATTCAGAAATGTCTCAATGATGTCCATACAGAATTACTGACACAGTATCATTGCCTTCCAAGTAGTGCTGTCTCTTAATGAGGTTGATTTACTAAACACAAATAGACTCTTCACTTTGCAAAGGAGGCTGTACAGGTTGAAGGGGAATTTTCCATAGAGTTCAGAAAATAAGCTGAAGCTCTGCTGACTTTCATCAATTAATTGTGTGCAAACAAAAATGCTGGTTTTTCTATTTTCTTTCCACATGATTGTTTGTTCTTTGCAAAGTGAAATTTCACTACATTCATTAGCTCTGTGGATGATTCCCTAGGAAAATACAACTCCCCTTACAAAGTGAACAGCCTATTATCTTTTAGTAAATCAACCCCATGTCTATTCACAACTTTCCCACTACTGTGCTCTCTCTATTCATTTTCTATTGCATTGTATTTGTCTGCTCTTATCTGCATTGACAATGTTTACCTACTGTAAACTGCTGTCTCTGTATGCTGTATCTTGTTCAATAAAAAAAAAAATAAAAATAATAATAAAAGTGGAGCTTCAGTCAAAAATCTAAATGAAAAAAAAAAACAAAAACTGTAGCTGCTGACTTAAAAAATAGACACTCACCTGTCCCTCAATCCAGCGGTGTCCTCACCTCAGCCAGTTTCACTGTCCTCTCTCCCCAGCATCTTAAGTATGGGCACTAGTGGTGCACCGAAATGAAAATTCTGGCGCCGAAACCAAATAGTCAGGATGCAAAAACCAAAACGGACAGTTATTAAATGTAATTGATGTTGCTGGAAATTTGCACTTTAGGGGGAGTTTTTGCATTAAAGCCAATGGGGACTCGACTTTGCATGACAGCCTATGAGATGCGATTTTGCACTGAAGTCACTAGAGGGCGTTTTTGCATTAAAGTCTAAGAGAAGTGATTTTGCATTGAAGTCACTAGAGGGCATTTTTTTAAGAAAGCCTATGAGATGTGATTTTGCATTGAGGTCACTAGGGGGCGATTTTTAATGAAAATTTATGAGACGCGATTTTGCATTGAAATCACTAGGGGGAGTTTTTGCATGAAAGTCTATGAGACGCGATTCTGCATTGAAGTCACTAGAAGACATTTTTTCATGACAGCCTATAAGACGCGATTTTGCATTGAAGTCATTAGGGGGCATTTTTTCATGAAAGTCTAAGTGACGCGATTTTGCATTGAAGTCACTAGAGGCCTTTTTTTCATGAAAGTCCAAGGGATGCGATTTTGCATTGAAGTCACTAGTAGGCATTTTTGCACGAAAGTCTATGAGATGCAATTTTGCATTGAAGTCATGAGAAGGCGTTTTTTCATGAAAGTCTATGAGATGCGATTTTGCATTGAAGTCACTAGAGGCCTTTTTTTCATGAAAGTCTCTGAAACGCGATTTAGCATTGAAGTCACTAGAGGGCTTTTTTCACGAAAGTCTATGAGATGTGATTTTGCATTGAAGTCACGAGAGGGTGTTTTTTCATGAAAGTCTATGAGACGCGATTTTGAGCACTAGAGGGCTTTTTTTTCATCATGAAAGTCTATGAGACGCAATTTAGCATTAAAGTCACTAGAGGGCTTTTTTTCATGAAAGTCTAAGGGACGCGATTTTGCATTGAAGTCACTAGAGGCCTTACATTTCATGAAACTCTAAGGGACGCGATTTTGATTGATGTCACTAGAGGGCATTTTTTCATGAAAATCTATGAGACACAATTTGCATTGAAGTCACTAAAGGGCGTTTTTCCATGAAAGTCTATGAGACACGATTTTGCATTGAAGTCACTAGAGGCATTTTTTCATGAAAGTCTGTGAGACGCGATTTTAGATTGAAGTCACTAGAGGGCATTTTTCCATGAAAGTCTATGAGATGCGATCAGCAAAATGCAGATAACACTATTTTCGTCCAAAATGTTTCGGCTGTCAACATGTTGGTGCATCGCTATTGGGTACCCGGCTGTGACAGCTTGCGGCTTTACAGTGGGGTGCCCACTGCTTATGCGTAAGTAGCACTGCGCCTTGTGAATGGTCCTGTAGTCTTCTGGGACCTGTCATGTGTCCCAGAAGACTACAGGGAGCTAGGGGGGAGGACAACTTCTGCTTCCAATCGCCTAGGCAATCGCAACAAAATTGGGCGAGTCCCAGGAATGCCATTACACAGGTCCTCCACACTCTTAGGCCCCTGTATGGCTATGTGCATGAAACCTACCATTGAGGGCCTAAAAAGTCGGGGAGGAACACTAGTGCAGCACTCTACCTTAACCACTTGCCTACCGGGCACTTATACCAGCTTCCTGCACAGGACAATTTTCAACTGTTGCACTTTGAATGACAATTGCGCGGTCATGCAACACTGTACCCAGATGAAATTTTTAGCATTTTTTTCACACAAATAGAGCTTTCTTTTGGTGCTATTTAATCACCGCTGGGCGTTTTATTTTTTGCGCTATAAACTAAAAAAGAGCAAAAAAAATTTAAAAAAAAAAAAAGTTTTTCTTTGTTTCGGTCATAAAATTTTGAAAACAGGTAATTTTTCTCCTTCACTGATGTGCATTGATGAGGCTGCACTGATGAGTTGACACAGTTGGCAGGACTGATAGGTAACACTGACTGACGGCATTGCCGGGCACTGACTGGTGGCAGTGATGGGTGGCACTGACTGACAGCACTGCTGGGCACAGGTGGGTGGCACTGCTAGGCACAGGTGGGTGGCACTGATGTGCACAGGCAGGGGCATATTTACCACAAGGTAAACAAGGCACTTGCCTAGGGCGGCAGTTTTCAGGGGAGCAGCACCTTCCCCCAGAAGAAGGGATGAAAGAAGGGACATGTGCACCATGGAAATCAGGTGGGATCTGAGAGAGGCTGCGGGCTGCTTGATGGTGTATGTAGAGCCTGACTCTCATTCCTGAGCACGTCCAGAGCAGTGAAAATGAGTGTCTTTTTCTCTATCGCTGGGGGGGGGGGAAGTAGTGAAAGGCTCGGAGGGCAGGGGTGTTGTTGGTCAATGTCAGCAATGTCAGGCTCTCTCTGTGGGAGGAGGTGGTGTTGGTCGGTGTCCGTGGGGGAAGAGGATTTTTGTGTTGCCTAGGGCAGCACAAAACCTAAATACACTGCTGGGCACAGGTGGGCAGCACTGATCATCAGTGCCAATCTGTTCGCTGACAATTGAGACAGCATGAGGAAAGTTCAGCCCGATAACCGGCAACTGTATTTACCTGGTGATCTGCTGTGTCATTGGACACAGCTGATCACATGGTAAAAGGCGGCTGTGATTGGCCGTTTTACCACATCACATGATCAGCTGTGTCCCTAGGACACAGTGATCATGGAGATCATCAGGTGCGTGCCCCTGGGGGCGTACGGGAGAGCGCGTTATGGAAGGACATCATATGATTCCCTCCTAGAATTGGACAACCGCGCTGCAACCGTCGTTCGGCTATAGAGCAGGCTCGCAAGTGGCTAAAGAACAAAGGGGTTGATTTACTAAATAGCCAATAGTCTGTGCACTGCAAATACAGTTGCTCTAGATCTGAGGTGAAGCTCTGCTGATTTCTATCATCCAATCATGTGAAAGCAAAAATGCAGGGTTTTTTTTTATTTTAATTGCATGTGATTGGGTCTTCTTTGCAAAGTGAAGCTTTACCTCAATCACTAAGCTCTGGAGCAACTGCACTTGCAGTGCACAGTATATTTGCATTTAGTAAATCATCCTCAATGAGAGTCTAATTATAGCCATAGGTTAACCCCTTCACACCTAAGGGTAAAACAAATCTTAATGCCAAAGTACAATTTTGCAACGTTGACATGTGTTAGCAAAACTGTACATATCATCACAACTACTTTGTACATCCAGGTGAATTATACCGTGGTTTTTTTTTTAGGACAAATTGGGCTTTCATTTGGTGGTAAATGGCAATGGATATCTCCTGATTTTTTTTTTTTTATTGTTATTATTTTTATTATTATCAAAGGAAAACTGGCCCAAAATAGTAAAAAAAAAAATAAAACTTTAAAAATGTATCTGTATATTTCTTGCTACTACCGGTACCATACCCTACCACCAAAGAACAACCCAAAATAATTTCTCCAGCTCCTGATGATTGCAGCGATACCACATGTGTGTATGTTAGTTGT